GAGGGTTGGATGAAGCTCGAGGGTTCAAGAGCTCCCCGTAAGAGTGGAAGGCAGGGGGTTGGGTGGGTTGCATACCCTGTGCACTCAAAAGTGAATGCAACATATTGACTGTATCCTGGTAGTCACTGGCCTGGTTGATATTGTGCCCGTTGGCCCCTGTGGGACCTTTGTCCGATTTATTATGGGTTGCCCTGGTTTTATTCACCTGGGATAAAGGGATGGTGCCTGGATCTGAGCTGTGCCCTGAGAGATGGGTGGCTCCAGGGAGATGGGAATAAGGGAATGGCATACCAGGGCCTTTAGAAATTTTAGTGACTTTGGGTTGTTGGTGGTCGTGAGTTGTGGCTGTGGCCATCATGGTGGTGGTGGTGGTTGTCACCCCCCCCTCCTCTGGTAGGGGTCTCTTGCGGGAAGAGGTGAGGGGACCGTAGCTTTTGTGGTGTACAACACCAGGTTGGTTGCTGCTGTGTTTAGAGTCTCCTGGACGTTTGTTCACCAAACTGCTGGGACCGGCGGTGCCGAGCTGGGTGTGTAAGTGTTTGTGAGAGTGGTGGTTGTGGTGATGGTTTGAAGGGTGACCTTTGAGTTTCTCTTTGTACTCCCTGTTCTTGTTGCTGCTGCTCTCATCCGAGGAGCCGTGTCTGTCTGCAGCTGTTGGCATCTTGATCCTCATTTTGATCTCCTCTTGCTTAGAGGGGATTGGTCTCTCCCCACCTCCACCTGCCACCGGGATCCTCATCTTCAGAGCTGAAGCTTTGTCATTCTTTTCAGAGCCGGGTGGGCGCTCAGGGTTCTCTGACCCACCAACAGGAATTTTTAGGATGATGGGAGAAGGGTTGTTATCCTGTTGAACTTCCCTTTCCCTTTGTTGTTGGACCAAGAGGTTCTGTGCAGCGTAAGCATATTGAGACCTGACGTTGGCTTCCATGTTCTCCAGCTGCCGTTTCTGTGCCGCCAGCTCCTCGGCGTGTTTGGCTCGATATTCCTTCAGTGATACTTTAGCTGATGGAGGGTTTTTACCACTCTGCTTCTGATATCCAGCGCCATCTTGCTGTAAAGGATGTTCAGCAGTTGATGAGGTTTCGTTAGTCCTGTGACTTTGACCTGTCTCCAGTTTGGATGGTGGATGTTGTTGAGACAGCCAATGTTCAGACTGGGATATATCGGTAGCGCTGGGATCGCTGGGTGAATCTGCTGTGGCTGGTAGAGAAGGTCCAGCTCCAGCAGTTGAGGAGGTTGACATGCTCATTAAACCAGCAATGTTCATATCTGAACTATTATTCCTGGAAATCATGTTGAGGATTGTCTGCTCTGACAAGCTCTCATCGTCACCGTGGTCATCAGGCTTTGATTTCCTGGCTGCTTGAGAGGCCTGGAAGAAAAAAGCAACAACCAGTCACTTATTTTAAGCTGTCACTAGAGCTGGTTTGATCCAAGCAGCTGGATCCATGTTCAGATTTCCCCCCCACACACACACAAGTGCCCTTCAGACATTGCCTGGCATTGTAACACCAGAGATGCCACAGAGCCTCGAGGATGCAGGAGAAATCAGAGCCCTTGTGTTCTCCTACCTGAGGACTAAAGCAAATTTGATACAGCTCAAACTCTTATTTACAGACAGATTCATTTTGCCTCATATCTTTCCTTGTAGAAGAATAAAATCCCAACTGCTGCAAGTGGGGTTCCTAGTGCAGTTAAAAAAAACCCCCAAGATCTCTCCAGAGTTAATTCAGAACAGATGAACTCAAAGCACTGAAGCAACATTTGGCAGATGCCATGTTCAGATTTCCCCCCCCACACACACACACAAGTGCCCTTCAGACACTGCCTGGCATTGTAACACCAGAGATGCCATAGAGCCTCGTGGATGCAGGAGAAATCAGAGCCCTTGTGTTCTCCTACGAGCACCCAAAGGACTAAAGCAAATCCTTACCCGCCAGTTCCGGATGCGTTTCAGTCGGTTGGGAGTTTTCTCGAGGATTTGGAGGAATTCATGAGTTAGTTCTGCAGAGGAAACACAAATCCAGGGCAAAAGGGTCAGAGGTGGGCAGAGCAGCACCAAATCCATCAAGGTAACTCCTCTATTTACTGATGAGTAGAGCTATGGATGAGCTGGAGCTACTCTAGGAGAGGAACTACTGAGGAGTGGTATCACTGACGACATCTCAACTCATCTCACTGCCTTTTTGCATCTCTGTTGATCAATAAAAGCTGCTGCCACGCTGGAAACCTCAAGTCCTGGAGTCTATGAACTGGTTGGTGACTGTGTTTGAATGGCAAACCCAGAACAGAGAGATTTTGAGGGGGGGAAAAACACCCAAAACCCTCACTCCATAACAAAAACTTACCATCTAAGAGCTCCAGAGTTACAGTGCCATCAACGTATTCCCACCAGTGCTTCCCATCCGTGGAGACTGGTATCTCCCAGTTGGACCATTTACAAGCCAGGTGGATACAGACGCAGGCCACAACGGGAGGGGTGTACTGCAGGCTGAAGGTGGTCAGGTGTAGGCTGATGTCACCAGCAAGGGAGAGAGAGAAACAGAAACCCATCAACTCCCAAACCTGAACCTCAGCTCTCACAATCGCCCGCTCAACGGCCGCTGCGTAGAAGGTGGA